AGTCTAGTCTATAGTCTAGTCTATAGTCTAGTCTATAGTCTAGTCTATAGTCTAGTCTATAGTCTAGTCTATAGTCTAGTCTATAGTCTAGTCTATAGTCTAGTCTATAGTCTAGTCTATAGTCTAGTCTATAGTCTAGTCTATAGTCTAGTCTATAGTCTAGTCTATAGTCTAGTCTATAGTCTAGTCTATAGTCTAGTCTATAGTCTAGTCTATAGTCTAGTCTATAGTCTAGTCTATAGTCTAGTCTATAGTCTAGTAATCTAGTTTATAGTCTATTATTCGGAAATCTAGTATATGGTCTAATCTATAGTCTTGCGATAAATTGGTTTAATACTTTAACCCTAAAAAAGTATTATTTTTGTTATAAGTTAGTACTATTTCAAAATTTAAATTTGCCATGCCTGTTTCAACATCATACGTTTTAAAATTATTTCCCTTTCTTCAGCTCCCACACACTTTTGGCAATGGAATTTCTTATTTTACATGTAAATACATGGAACCAGTTTCGTTTTATTGCATTTCATTTAAACTTTTTTTATTTTAATTTTAATTAAGCTAATTTGAAAATTGTACATTTTAATGAAATAATTTTATAATGAAAATGCAAAAAAAAATTGTTGTTTTTGTAAGTCTATACTTTGTAGTATAGAGTTTCTAATTTAGAGAAGTGCGCGTCAGATTATTGTTACAATTTAGTCTGAAAACTTAATTCAAATCTGATAATATTAACACGTGTCTGTCAGATAATTTCAAAATGCGATTAGTAGAGTAAATAATTATTTTCCTTAGTTATTCATAGCGAGAGTGTAATCATTTTCTTAATCTATTACGACATGTCCGTCTGTCTATCAATTTAAAAGTGCAGTTCGCAATTTTGATGATAATTCGAATAATACTTCTCAAGAACAACCCCTATTGTTGTTGGTTGAAATCGGTCCATTATAATACACAGCGGGAATTCCGAATATGGAAGTCCTAATTGTACTACCAAATAGACTCAAAAGTAAAAATGATGGGTCCATAATTGACTACAGCACCCATTGAAAATCCCCTTCCGGAAATGCTCTTAACGTCCATAATTATTATCGCTTTGAAATTCGGCATGAATCAGTTTTTATTAACATAAATTCATTAATGAAATTTTTATGTAAAGGTCCATATTTTAATTATAATTAATATCCGATATATAAATTTAAAAAATTGTGAAATAGAACTGGAAAAGTTGTAGACACAAATTTAAAAACTTATATGTAATAATTCTTTCAATACCCTGATTATTTGCTCACTTGTATTTATATACATATATTTATTTCAAATACAGAAATTGCAATAAAATAATTGCTGTATTCCAGTATTTATACAGTTGGAATCCGTTATTTACTTTTGTGATTGTTTATCTAATTTGTTTTTTTTTTCAATACAGTTCTATAATGAAATAATAAATAAACACCTACCTATTTTTTCTGAAAAATTGTTCGTTTTTCATTATATTTTCCATGGCAAACGCTATAAAATATTTTTAATGATCTAATTTATTTTGTTAATTAAATTACAAATAAACTTTAGAAATTTTGTAAAAATAAAAGTTTAACATACATGTATGAATTACAACCTGTATTTGTAGATTTTCGTAAAATGTGAGTCCAGACACGCAACTCGATATCATGCAAAAATATTTAAAACTATTAAAGCAAGAATCATTTAGCAAAGCATGAACAACTTTGACAACCATGTGAACATTTGGTTAATATTTATATTGGTGGATAAATCACCATAAGGGGCGTAACACCTCCCATATTAATTAAATACAAAAATTCATATATCTGGTAAACCATTAGAGCAGAAACCTTAAAATTTTAAACGAGCAACATTAAACCATATATGAACATTTGGAAGAATGGGTTAACTTACTATACTAAATGGAATATAAAATTGTTAAGCGGGTTTTAATTATATTATTTTAATGGTAGCGAAGCACACTGGGTATAGCTAGTACTTTATATATAACGGTTTTGTACTGTTGACCTCAGTGAGAAGGGTATATATAAGTTTGTCATTCCGTTTGTAATTTCCACAATATAATTTTCCGAACCAATAAAGTATATATATTCTAAAACCTTATAGATAGCGGAATCGATTAAGCCATGTCTGTCTGTGTATCTGTTGATTTCAGTTTTCTGAAATCCCCAGATATCTTCGGGATGAAATGAGTCCTAAGTTTTATATAGTTTCAGATCATACTAATTTTATTTGTGTAACCTTGGCTTTAATGTGGTGAGTCCATGTTAAACGGCGATCAAGGTGGATACCAAGATATCTCACATTGCTTTGTTTAGGAATTTTTATATTATTTATCTGTACGGGAGGACAATTTTCCCGTCTTAAAGTAAATCTAACGTGAGTACATTTTGTTGCATTGACTTTTTTTCTCCATTTGTCCAGCTACTTCGCTAATTCGCTGATGTGAGACTGGAGTTGTTCAAAAGCTGTAGAAGGGTTTTCATGTATGCTTACAAAAGCGGTATCATCCGCAAATGTAGAAGTATGAGCCAGTGCGTTCGTTGACATATCTACAGTATATAAAATATATAGGAACGGACCTAGAATACTACCCTGGGATGTTCCAGTAGATATTTTTCGACGTGAAGAGATCACATTTTTAGATCTGATTTGAAAAGATTTTTCATATATGTAATTTTTAAGCAGTTTGTGAACTTTCGCAGGTAGTAATATGATAATTTTGTGTATTGGTCCATTGTGCCAGACTTTATCGAAGGATTGAGAAATATATATGAATAATGCTGAACAGTATTGCTTGCTCTCGAATAACTAAGAGTAGTTATTCGGTGTACCTTTTCAATAGTGCTGTGCTTTCTTCTGAAACCAAACTGATGGTCAGGAACAAATACCGCAATTACCGTTAAGGTGTACTAAAAGGATTTCAAGCAATAACTTTTCAAAAAGTTTTGAGAATATAGACAACAGGCTAATTGGACGATATGATGTTACTTAAGTGATATCTTTCCCCGGTTTTGGTATCATAACTGGGCAGGTTACTTATCATCGTGATAGTAATTTTATCTATACCAGGTGATTTTCCTGCTTTTAGACCTTAACGGTAGAGAACCGAAATTTTATTGGGCGTGGAACCACATTATTTACAATGTTAGCACTAATAGAAGAATCTAGAGACTATATTCTGTTTTCTTAGTAGTTTTAACGGGATATGGTGGAAATATATTGGCAGTACTGATGGTAGCGAAGTTCACTGGTCATAGCTAGTACTTTATATATATAACGTTTCACCTTCGTGAGATGGGTATATATAAGTTTGTCATTCCGTTTGTAATTTCCACATATAATTTTCCGACCCCATAAAGTATATATAATTCAGGATCCTTATAGATAGCGAAGTCGATTAAGTATTGTCCGTCTGTCTGTTGAAATCAGTTTTCTGAAGACCCCAGATATCTTCTGGATGGAATGAGTCTTAACTAAGTTTTATATAGGTTCAAATCATACTACCGATTTTTTGCATTTCCAAAGCGAAATACCTTTTCGACGATCGTCTTAATTAAGCATTTTTTTCATCACAATAATTATGTTTGTTCCCGTATTCTTCAGTTTTAAAGGTTTTAATGAAGACGGGCAGAATAATTCAGAAAAACAAGTAGATTGTATATTGAAATTTAAGCACGGAAACATCTTACTGGAAAAACTTGCAATCCAGCCGAGCACAAAAAATTTTAAATTCTCAGGAAGTTTTTTTTCGAATTTGATACAATTTAACATTTCAATGACTTCCTTAATTGTATGTAAAAGTGTGAAACGATTAAAAGCAATCACTTTATCACTTTAATTATTAAGTAACAAGTTCAAAGAACCACCATCTGTACAAACGTGAATATGTCTGTCTGTCTGCCTGTCAGAATTTCAATTCAACTTTATTTTAAAGCGATAAGAAATGCATTTCGTGCACACATTCACAATCTGAAATACTACTTTCCAACGTAGTATGGGATGGCAATTAAGGAATTATTTGAATTATTTTTATACCCCCCTTAAAGCTTGATTTATGTAATATATTTATGAAATGCAAACATCTAAACACAATTTGACATCGATCCAACTAATAAATGAATATATGTGCAAAAAAATTTTGATAAGTAATAAAATATTTTGCTTGATTGGTGGTCTGTTTGATATGAATGTCTAAGAGTGTGGACAAGAGGAGCTTTCTAATAGAATTGCATTCTCTAAAAAAAGGCAGTGAGGTGCAGTATTAAAAGCAAACAAACAAATAAACCAAACCAATAAACAATTGAATTAAATGAAATATGAGGTTTTTCCAATTGAATTGCATCCAGTTAAAAGTATTGTTTGTTACTAATTTAATTGAATTATCACTATAATTTACGTCACATCATACGAGCCATTCTGATGGGGGGTAGTTAAGAAAAAAACAAAACTATAGTTTATTATACATAGTCACTGTTGTCATTCATCCATATCAGACGAGTATCATTCATTATTTTACATCATTTCCTATAGTATTTTGTAAATTATCAATCAGCTGATATTTATTTTTTTTTGTACAATCATGAATTTATTGCACAATTTTATTAAATTTTTCATAAATATAATTCTTGATTACGTTTTATGAAATGGAAGATTCCTTTAATCCGTAATCAGTTTGCATTAGTTGCAATTTTTGCGATTGTAAACTAATTGATCATACTGTTGTCAGCTTAAACAGTTTCATCTCATATTCTGAATTCCATTTGATTGATATTTACGTTCAAAAAAGTACTGTTAAATATAAAAGGAAATGGTGTTTAGAACCTAAAGTAACAACTGGTCATCGTATGTGGTGTGGCGTTACAAATACTTGTAATTGATTCAATTTGAAATAAAACAAAAATAACTACTTTAAATCACCCCTAATTTGTTTAAACAATTGTATAAATATTATTTACGTTTTATTTCCTCAATTGCAGGTCTTCTCAGGGCATTGAATTGCCAGAACTTGGTAATTATGCCACTGGTATTTTCTATTTGGATCATCAAACTCACAAGGAAGCTGAGCAAGAGTTTAATGCATTAGCCAAGACTTTGGGAGTTGAGGTGTTGAACTGGCGTGATGTGCCATCGAATACGAATGCTATCGGTGTGGTGGCTCGTAAATCGGAACCATATTCTCGTCAAGTGTTTGTGACTCGTCCAGCTGGCATGGATGATGAGACTTTCAAGCGCAAGATATTCGTATTGCGTAAACGTGCCAGTCACGAATTGGCTAAAGAAGGTCGTCGTTTTTATATCTGTTCCCTTTCTACTAAAACCATAGTCTACAAGGGTCTCTTTACTTCCGATCAACTTTGGGATTACTATACCGATCTTAAGAATCCAGAATTCGAAACCTATTTGGCTTTGGTTCATACACGTTTCTCTACCAATACTTTCCCTTCATGGGAGAGAGCTCATCCCTTGCGTGTTTTGGCTCACAATGGTGAAATCAATACACTGCGCGGTAATGTTAATCTCATGAAGGCCCGTGAAGGTGTCATGAAGAGTGAATTGTTTGGTGATGAATTGAAGAAACTCTATCCAGTGGTAGAGCCCAATCTATCCGATTCCGGTTCATTTGATTGTGTCTTGGAATTTCTTACCCAAGCTAGTAGTCGCACATTACCGGAATCGGTTATGACCATGGTGCCTGAAGCCTGGCAAAATGACAAAACTATGCCTCAAGAGAAACGAGATTTCTATCAATGGGCCTCTTGTGTTATGGAACCCTGGGATGGTCCTGCTCTAATTTCCTTCACTGATGGTCGCTATATTGGTGCCGTCTTGGATCGTAATGGTTTGCGTCCTTCGCGTTTCTATATCACCAAAGAGAATATTTTGGTTATGGCTTCTGAAGTTGGTGTCTATGATGTTGATCCATCACAGGTTACCTTGAAGAGTCGTTTGAAACCCGGTCGTATGTTATTGGTCGATACTCAAGAGAAGAAATTCATTCAAGATATTGAGCTTAAGACTTACATTGCCAAATCTCGTCCTCATTCGGAATGGTTACAACAGAAGGTAAGTTGAGTAAATTGAAATTTACAAAAAGACATATGAGTTAAATACTAGACAAGATGAACCCACATGATAGTTTATTTGACTTAATAAGAACCAAATTAGATTAGCTATAAGAGATGAATTTCATCGTGATTGTTATCCAAAAAGTGTTGGAGAGTTACCAGAACCGTGAGAATAACTCAAAATTCAGTATATAGTTAATTAATATAGGTTTGAGATCAGTGCAACGTTTCTTTTGAAATGTCATGTACCATTAGTCTACTTTCAATCATGTCATGTATTGATTGACATCAAAGCCCGGAAATAAGTTGCATTGGGTCCCTTGTAAAAAGAGTAAAGCGAAACCCGTATTGTCTACCAAGTTTTAGTTAAGAATGCTCTCCATAACTTTCGTGAGCACAGAACGAATTACGATTGGGCAGAGTTAACTTGGGTTGAGGGGTCTCCTCTTTTTGGAATTGGCGGACTTCCCAATATATGAAAGATTAAATATGTTTTTAAGCTGTCGGGCGAGTGAAAAAGAACATTTACTGACAAAAACAACACTCTCTCAAATATAGAGATGCCGTTACTATTCCCAATTCTTTTCGTTTCATAGCTACTATCCGAAAATTTATAATAAACAACAAATAATGCTGATCGACCGATAGCTTGAGATAAAAGTTTCCTCTTCTAGTATCTTCATAATTCTCTTCGTTTAGAGAAACTTTTCAAATCCCTTTTTAGAAAAGTTAACTCCCAATTTATGAAAATGTCATTCTTATTCCTCTCCCTTCCTATCATTCTACGAAACAAATAGAATTCAGAACTTTATTCCCAGTTTATCTTGATCATCGTCAATTCCCATAACACTAAAAATATACACCAAAACCTTCACACCTAACTAAATATTTAATAAATATAAATTATAATTAATACTCGTATATCCTTTCTTCTAATGCTTCAATTAATCAAATTTAAATTTTGGACTTTAAAAGATGGTGAGTTAATATTTTCAAAATTTTGATTACGGAATGAAGCGCTCAAAAGCTGGCTGTTTTCTCTTTTAAGTTTTTATTTCCAAAGCTTTTAATTTCACAAAAAGATCAGTTGCTTTAATTTATGTTGTAAGATTTTTCAATAAATTCTTTAAAAAACGTATCGATAACTCTTCTATAATTTTACAAACCAGATAACTTTGGACGAAATTCGCAACGCCAATGTCTTTAATACGGATAATGCCAATGGTTTGGCAGAATATACCACCGATCCCGCTACTCATGGTATGTTGGATCCAAGACTTTCTTTGTATGGTTACACCAATGAGTCGGTTAATATGCTGTTGGTGCCAATGTTTAAGACCAGGTTAGTGGGAATACAAATTTCGCAATTAATTTGTATTCAATTAAAATTATATATTTTGTTTAATTTATTAGAAAAGAGGCTCTTGGATCTATGGGTAATGATGCTCCTTTGGCTTGTCTTTCAACATTCCAACCCACACCCTACGAATACTTCAAACAATTGTTTGCCCAAGTTACCAATCCTCCCATTGATCCATTCCGTGAGAAGGTTGTCATGTCTATGCAGTGCCCTGTGGGTCCCGAGGGCAATTTATTGAAGCCTTCTGCAGAACAAGTCCATCGCATTTGGTTGCCCAACCCCATTTTGAGCATTCCAGATACAAATCTGCTGAAACGCAATACTCATCGTGGTTGGAAAACCAAGGTTTTGGACATTACATTCCAATTTCAAGATGGCGTACAGGGCTACATTGATTGTATTGATCGCATTTGTCGTGAGGGTGAAGCGGCCGCTTCTTCGGGCTATCAACTTTTGATCTTGTCCGATCGCAATGGTGGACAAAATGGCAAAGCTCCCGTATCGGCTCTTTTAGCTTTGGGTGCTCTACATCATCATCTCATCGAAACATATCAGCGCATGAAGGTTGGTATCATCCTTGAGACTGCTGAAGCTCGCGAAGTTCATCATATTTGCGTGCTATTGGGTTATGGTGCTGATGCCATTTGCCCCTATTTGGCATTCGAATTGGCCCAAGCCTTGCGTAATGATGGTGTCATTAGCCCCGATGTTAGCGACAAGCAAATCTATTCGGCTTACGCTCAGGCTATTGATACTGGCATTGCTAAAGTCATGGCCAAAATGGGCATTAGTACTCTGCAATCGTATAAAAGTGCTCAAATATTTGAAGCCGTGGGTTTGGGTAGTGACATTGTCCACAAGTGTTTCCGTGGCACTGCTTCCCGCATTGGTGGTGTGACTTTGGAGATTATGGCTCGCGAGGGTCTGGAACGTTATCAAATGACTTATTGCAAAGTTTCTGCCGATACTCGCATTTTGCGCAATCCTGGCCAATATCATTGGCGTCATGGTGGTGAAGCCCATATCAATGAACCTGGCTCGATTGCTAGTCTACAAGAAGCAGCAGTTTCTAATAATACGAATGCATTTGAAGCTTTCAAGAATTCCACTTTAGAAAGTGTTAAGAGATGTACTCTAAGAGGTCAATTGGAGTTTGTTACTGATCGTGAGAAGATCGATATATCAGAAGTGGAACCAGCCAGTGAAATTGTAAAACGGTAAGAACAAGCTTTTGTGAAAAATAAACTTTCTTTTAAATAAAAATTTTCTTTGCAGTTTTGCTACTGGTGCCATGAGTTTCGGTAGTATTTCTCTGGAGGCCCATCAAACATTGGCCATTACCATGAATCGTATAGGAGGCAAAAGTAATACCGGTGAGGGTGGTGAAGATTCAGATCGTTATTTGAGTAAGTATTGTCGTTTTGTTTTTTCATTTCTAATTGGGATTTATTGTTAAAATGTGTAAATTATTTCAGATCAAGATCCCCAAAATAGCCGCCGTTCTGCTATTAAACAGGTAGCTTCGGGTCGTTTTGGTGTCACCGCTTCTTATTTGGCCAATGCCGATGATTTGCAAATTAAAATGGCCCAAGGTGCCAAACCAGGCGAAGGTGGCGAATTGCCCGGCTATAAAGTTACCAAAGAAATTGCTAAAACTCGTCATTCAGTGGCTGGAGTTGGTCTTATTTCACCACCTCCTCACCACGATATTTACTCAATTGAAGATTTGGCCGAACTTATTTACGATTTGAAATGTTCAAATCCTAATGCTCGCATTTCCGTAAAATTGGTATCTGAAGTAGGTGTGGGCGTGGTAGCTTCTGGTGTTGCTAAGGTATGGTATTTTTAATAAAACTTGTATAATCGGCGCAATAAAATCTTCAAAATACTCGTTTTCAGGGTAAAGCTGAACATATTGTTATTTCGGGTCATGATGGTGGTACTGGTGCTAGCTCCTGGACTGGCATTAAGAGCGCCGGTCTACCCTGGGAATTGGGTGTGGCAGAAACTCATCAAGTTTTGGTTTTGAATAATCTACGATCAAGGTGAGTTAGTCAATGTTCTGTGTTTCGCGTAGCAACACTAACCATTTAGAACAAACTACATACTTATATATATATAAATATACAATAACTTACAAAAAACCTGGTTATCCAGATAACGAGCTTCTTCAACGGCCTTGTCGTCGGAGAGGATTTTAACAAACAAACAGTGAGCGTACTCAAAATACAAAAAGTCGCGCGTCGCGTTTCATTTAGAAAGACTAGCAAATCACATGTCTTAAAACGGTTAGAAGAAGTGATTTCAAATTCTGCACATTTCTGAGAAAACAACAATAACGCTTACGAAATGAACACACACACAAAACTCACACGCTCCTCCTCCCTTACTACACAAAAAAGACTGGAGAGACTGCTGATCAAATAAGAAAAGCATCAATAAAGAACGTGAATCCTGGATGGCTGGATTGTGGGCAGTGTGTATCAATACAAATGAGTGTGTGTGTGTCTCTGGATGTGAGCGTTAAAATTTGTTGACGAAATGTTTGCATGATCGAAATTTTCTAAATGATCAAACGAAAATTATAAATATTTTAATAGAAATAAGATCGCCATCGTTGTCAAAAGCTTAATAAACTGATTGCATTACTTGCTAGAAACTAATCTTAACAAGAATACACATTCAATCATCTCACTAGTTGATCCCTTTGATATCTTTCGCTAAGTTGCTCACTTGCATCTTCCGCCCTAGTCGCCCTCGTGTTTGATCGTTCTTCATCAGCTGCTGCAGCGGCTTCATTAGTAATTTTTTCTCAATCTTTACTTAAACTTGTTTAGAAGTTTTTCTAATATACGTTTTTTTATTTTCTATGTTTTTGTGTTGTTGCTATCATTTGATTCTGATTATCACCTTGAATGCTGCCATTGCTGATCTCGTTCCTCCTTGTTGTTGTTTTCTTTTGTTTGAACAAATCAACAGAGTTGTACTCCAAGCTGACGGTCAATTGCGTACCGGTTTCGATGTTGCTGTTGCTGCATGTTTGGGTGCTGATGAATTTGGTTTCAGTACAGCTCCTTTAATTGTAATGGGTAAGTTTTCACTTAAAACTAGTTGAATATGTTATTAATGAAGGCAATGACAGGAATAGAATGCCAAAGAAGTGTCACTTACATGTTGAAATATTTATAACTTTTTAAACTCTATTTTCAGGCTGTACCATGATGCGTAAATGTCATTTGAATACTTGTCCAGTTGGTATTGCCACCCAGGATCCTGTGTTGCGTAAAAAGTTCACTGGCAAGCCAGAGCATGTCATTAACTTCTTCTTTATGCTGGCAGAAGATGTAAGTTTACTCAGAGTAACATTTATATATTAAAGCTTGGTTTATCTTACTTTTATATTTGAATAGATTCGTAAAATCATGGCCAGCTTGGGTATACGTAAATTCCAAGATCTTATTGGTCGCACTGATTTGTTGCGTGTCTCTGATAAACTCTCGCCAAAGGCCAGCACTTTGGACTTGTCGTTGATTTTGCAAGATGCCCTAAAATTGCGTCCTGGCACAAATATCTTGGGAGGTTCCGTAAAACAAGACTTCCAATTGGAAAAACGTTCCGACAATGAACTTATTAGCAAAATCCAACCCATTTTTAATGGTACTGAGGATAATGTTACTCTAAAAATGCGCATCAATAACGAAGAAAGAGCTTTTGGTTCCACACTCAGCTATCATATTGCTTGGTAAGTTTTAATTCTCCAGGGGAAAAGTTTAAAATTTTATAGCTTATTTGGGTTTATTATTTCAATTCTAGCAAATATGGTGAAGCTGGTCTTCCTGAAGGCAAAAGTATGGATATTTACTTGGAAGGTTCTGCTGGTCAGAGTTTCTGTGCTTTCTTAGCCAAGGGTGTTAATGTCACCTTAAAGGGCGATGCCAACGATTATGTGGGCAAAGGTTTGTGCGGTGGCAATATAGTTATAACGCCACCTGACACCGTACCCTATGAATCCCATTTGAATGTGATTGTGGGCAATGTTTGCTTGTATGGTGCCACTCAAGGTCGTGCTTACTTCCGCGGTATTGCGGCTGAACGTTTCTGTGTACGCAACTCAGGTGTTACCGCAGTTGTAGAGGGTGTGGGTGATCACGGCTGCGAATACATGACTGGCGGTACTGTGGTAATTTTAGGTCTTACTGGCCGTAACTTTGCTGCCGGTATGTCTGGTGGTGTGGCTTATGTCTACGATATCGATGGTTCTTTCAAAGCCAAAGTAAATCCAGAATTAGTAGAACTTTTACCACTCGAATTGGCCGGTGATGTGGCTTTAATTAAGGAACTTTTGCAAGATTTCATTGAGAAGACGGGATCAAAGATTGCCAAACAAATCATTGATAACTGGGCTCAGGAGCAGGGCAAATTTGTCAAAGTCTTCCCCTATGACTATCAACGAGCTCTTAAGGAACTTGAAGCCGAAAAGGAAGAACAAGAAGTAAAATCCGATGTCAAATCTATTGAGAATGGCAAAAGCAACGAACCCTCTATTAAGGACATCGAAGAAGCCATACAGGATGTGGCATTGGAACAAAAGAGAGCTGATCGCATTTTAGATAAAACTCGTGGTTTCGTCAAGTACAAGCGTGAGACCGCACCTTATCGTGATGCTCAAGAGCGTCAAAAGGATTGGGAAGAAGTTTACAATTTCCCTCATGTGCGCAAGAATCTAAGGGTTCAGGCGGCTCGTTGCATGGAATGCGGTGTACCATTCTGTCAATCGAATGTACATGGCTGTCCTTTGGGCAACATTATTCCTAAATGGAATGATCTAGTATTCCATGGTGACTGGAAGGAGGCGTTGCGTCAATTGTTGCAAACAAATAATTTCCCCGAATTTACGGGACGTGTTTGTCCAGCACCCTGCGAGGGTTCATGTGTCTTGGGTATATCCGAACCTGCTGTTACCATTAAAAATATTGAATGTGCAATAATTGATCATGCTTTTGAACAGGGTTGGATTAAGCCCGAAATACCAGAGGTACGTAGTGGCAAACGTGTGGCCATTGTTGGTTCTGGTCCTTCGGGTCTGGCAGCTGCTCAACAACTTAATCGTGCCGGTCATTTTGTTACCGTTTTTGAACGTAATGATCGCGTAGGTGGTTTGTTGCAATACGGTATTCCTACTATGAAATTATCCAAGGAAGTGGTGAAGAGACGTGTTGATTTGATGGCTGATGAGGGCATTGAATTCCGCACCAATGTTCATGTGGGAAAAGATATACCGGCTGAGACCTTGTTGCAAGAGTAAGTAGAGATGATAATGGTTTTTATATATTTCTTAAAATTGTTTTTAAAATTAATTCCTTGACAGATATGATGCTGTCTTGATTACCACTGGTTCCACCTGGCCACGTGATTTACCACTGGCCAATCGTGACCTCAAGGGTATACACTTCGCCATGGAGTTCTTGGAAGCTCAACAAAAGAAACAATTGGGCGGTAAGAAGGATATAATCTCTGCTGAGGGAAAAGATGTTATAATTATTGGTGGTGGCGATACCGGCTGTGATTGTATAGCCACTTCATTGCGCCAAGGTGCCAAGAGTATTACAACATTTGAAATTCTACCCGAACCACCCAAGAGCAGAGCCAATGATAATCCCTGGCCACAATGGCCCAAAGTATTCCGGTAATTTACGAATAAAATTAAAATGTAAGTTGTATTGTTGCTAATTTTTTTAATTTCTAGTGTTGACTATGGCCACGAAGAGGTGCGCGTCAAATGGGGCAATGATCCCAGACAATATTGTACTACAACCAAAGAATTCATTGGTGAGAATGGTCATATCAAGGCGGTTAAAACCGTTGAAGTGGAATGGACTAAAACAGCCAATGGCGGCTGGAGCATGAAAGAAGTGCCCGGCTCAGAAAAACATTTCAATGCTGATCTTATTCTATTGGCAATGGGCTTTTTGGGACCCGAAAAGACGGTGCCCAATGAATTGTCTTTGGAATTAGATCCCAGAGGCAATATTAAGGCCGTCAATGGTCATTATGGTACCTCGAATCCTAAAGTATTTGCAGCTGGAGGTAATTAGAGTTGTAATTAAAAAAGAGAAAATAATTTATTGATTTATGTTTCTAATATAAACAGATTGTCGCCGTGGCCAATCATTGGTGGTGTGGGCCATTACCGAAGGTCGCCAGGCAGCTCGTCAAGTGGACTCTTATCTTACCGGCCGTCCTAGTGGTCTTCCAGGGCCTGGTGGTGTTGTAGATCCCACTAAAAATGCTTAAATTTATTAGTTCATTAACCTTTTAAGATTTTTTTATTTACTTGCTATTTTTTGTGGTAAAGTCTTGAATAAATATTAAATTTAATTGTATTTGTTTCCATTATTAAACCTAAATTACTTTACTTTCATTAAAAAGAAAATGAAAGTAAATTACAACAAAAATACATACACACAGCTTTAAATTGTTTTTTTTTTAACGAAAACCAAAAGACTTTACTTTATAATTAACAAAAAAAAAAAAAAGAGAAAAAATTACTCATATTTTAGTTTTATTTATTTATTACATACATATAAAACTAAAATTATATTAATTATAACTTAGTAAGCTTCAAATTCGAAAAAAAAAGTAAATAAAAATTATTATTAATTACATTTATCTTAAACATAATTAGAATTTGCATCTTAGACTTATTTTAATTAACAACAAAATTTAAAAAAAAATGCTTAAAGAAAATATGTTATTAAATATTATATTTACATAATTATTATTATTATAAATATTATATTGTATTATTGCAAAATAAAATAAAAAAATTACACATTTAATGGTCAATTAGCTGCACTTTATATATCTGAAAATATTATTCAAATGATTAAATATTATTTTTAAAATGAATAATTTAAATTTACTTAAAAAACAGATTCTGACTAAATGGTATATGGTTTTAGCAACTGACATGTTAAATGAATTCACTTTAATTTCTGGCGAATGAGATTGAAAAGAAAACTTTAATTTCGCTTGTTAAAAGTAGAAGCTCAATGAGAAGTAAAACTGACAAAATAAAGCCAAGTTCTGGCATTATATTAATTGAAATATTTATATGGAATTCCATTTCCCAAATTTCTTATTAATTCCAAAGAAGAATTCAAAGAATAAAAATCTAGATCTTATGTTCGTTCCTAAGTACATAAGTCTTTATATTTAGAATTATAATTAAGATTCTTCGACATAAAATTATTACAGCGTTTTCTATAAATTAAATACTAAACCGATTTTAAAATAATAAGAAATTTTCTATATGGAGATAGTAGGATTTTTTATTTAAATCATAAATCATATCTGGAACATTGTCAGCCAAAATGTCCAAAATTTAAAATTAAGATAAATATTTTCTAAATACAAATATAAGACCAACTAGAATATATAATTAAACACATAAAGTCGGTCCTCGGAGTATTTTCCAAATTTAAAACAAAGCTTAAAAGCAAATTCAAAACAAGTTTGTTCAACGCCTATAATGATCAATTGTAGAAAAACTGGTCGATTTTAAGCCTAAAAGTATGCTAATTTACTTTAAAAAGTGTGGTAAAAATCTTTTAAAAATTAAAAAAAATGGAATATAAATGAAAAAAATTTAAATTTACAATTTGAATAACGTGTCAAAATCGCTGAAAACTCTATGCCCTTTACAATTTACTCAAAACTACTGATATAAATAAACCAACTCCTAAAAAATACCTTGTTTTTTTGGCAAAAATAAAACTCTACTATAATAAAAAAATTTTAAAAGAAATGAAAAACTTTATAAGACAATAACTAGAAATTAAACTATTGTAAAATTATTTATAATTTAAAAATAAATAAAACAAATGTTAATTGGTATGCTGATCACTTGGAAAACAGAAAAAAAATCATTTATAATTATAATTTTTGAAATTTTACTGAAATCATCCATAAAACCATTAATATATGTAATTCAAAAATTAAATAAAGGTTTTAAAAAAATATAAACAAAAATAAATGTAAAATACGAATTTTAAATTAAACATACAGACATACATACATACATACATACATATAAACAAGATTACCTACTTAACCACTTGCATATGTGTAATAAAAACCTTAACATATTTTAAGGGTTAAGGTTGTTTCAGTATTTCAATTTAATAATTTTTATTACACATCTTATTTTTCTGTCCTTTCTATTATTTTTAGGGGACATTTATTATTTTATTAATATAATAATTTTCTTTTGATTCTCTTTGTTTTTTGTCCTTAAGTATATTTTATTTACTTTTCAAATTCCTAAGTATATATACAATATCAAATAAAATATTAACTCAATTTATTACTAAAAATATGTATACATATATTCTTAAATAATACATTGCTAAAAAAACAGCAAGAATTATTAACTGAGTTTCAAGTTAAAAAAAATCAAATATACAAAAAACTTACAAAAATATTAATAAAATGTATTTATGTGTTAACTTTTAAAAACAAAAGTTGTTTTAATTTAAAATAAAAGAAAATTTAATTCAAACTCAACCTTTATGAAATTTGGTGCGATAGGCAAAAAACAATATAATTTTTTCATATGGATATTTCCGAAATGTCGGTTATTGTTTAACAGATTGATATACTGCCGGTTAAAATTATTTTTGTATATGAACTGTGAATTTATCGTTAGGATAAAACATAATCAGACTTTGAGAAATTGGGGATTAAAGTGATTGTAAGTTCAAAATAAAACCGATTTTAATTTTGGTTTAAGTTCTTTTCTAGCTTTTAATTAGTGGTGCAAAGTTTAACTTTGGGAAATTTTTCATTTTCAAGCTAAAACGAATCCTATATACCTTTCAACATGATATTAAAAAAAATATCAGAAAGTCCCCTTTTATAGAATTCCATGCAATCAGGGTGCTGCGTAGGTGCAAAAACCAAAAAGTACATCATAAAACGAAAAAGTACTAAAAATCCTTTATGTTTCTTGGTTCAATAAATACCCTTTGTATTATAATAAAGTACCAAAAAGTCCCCATTTATATATTTTCAATTATTCCAGGGTCTACATGCTTTATTTCATGTTTCTGGGTTCAGTATTATGGAATACTAGCTTAGGAATACCTAATACATAGTTTCCGCAATATACGAATTTTTGTATTTAATTCCCAGCAAAAAATAATTGATGTCATACTTTACAAACGACATCTTAATCACATCTATAAATGCGATTGCATATTTTTCGCTTCTATGAACCAAATTTTTCCTTACAAATAAAAACCGAGTTAAAAGTGAGGAAAGAGATGTTGAAAAGTCACTACAAATAACATATTCGAAGTACATCAAATTTTGGTGAAAAAACCAATGAAATTTACATAAGCGTGTCATTGAAAGAATGTGGTTTATTTTTGACATCCAAATATCGGATTTTTACTGCATCTATGAATAAGATTGTTTCCCAGATAAATGTAAAAATTCTTCGTCCAAAATTTAAAGATACTAGCTCCAATTGTTTCCCAGATAAACGAGTATTTAATTCATATGGGACGTGCCAAGCCACACTTGCGATACTGATGAAAATCATAATCTTCGGCGATTTTTGCGCATATGTACATTTTTGTGAAGAACTGCACATTAGATGAAGCGCAGTGATGTATTTCGGAACAGGACATAACTTTCGAAGTCTTCCGGAAGTCTGGTTAAGGGATAACGGTTCGACAAGTTTATTAAATTTTAACTTTATGAGCAAAGTATTGAAACGATGGATACGGAGGAGTAGGCATAAATAAAATCTCAACGAATTGTTGTGATTGTATGTATCACGATATCTACATTGAACCTTCTAAATAATTTTAACACTGGGACACTTGGAGAGGATTATGAATTCTTTATAGATAACAATAATAATACATGTACTTCTGGAGACACAAAAATAAATTGTAAACCTATTTTCCCCCTTTCAATATATGTATGTAAAAACAAACCTCAGCAACATACATAGATACCTAATAAGTATAAAAACCAGGATCCAAAGGGATAATATGTATTGGGGCCCTAACAGAGCTCTGGAGGTGCATCCGGCGATTTTCCAAAGGAAATCCAAGATTCGGATTCGATCTACTATTTATATATATATGTTTATATATTATTTGGTACTCACCAGTATATATGTATTATTTTCAAATAATTCAAGATGCATCAAAAATTAAGATGAACAATTTCTGAATAAATTCATTCAGCTCTATTCATACTTTTCGGTGTTTATTTAAAACACAACGAAAGTGTCATCGCTAAATGTAATCGCCAATGTATCATATCTAATTACTTACTTAAGGCCCAAATAGACTACACAAGCGGCTTGACAAACATACCAATATTTTACGTTTGCGCAAGCCTGTTGTGTAGTGTATGAGGGTGTTTTCGTGTTTGTACAAATGATTTCATTTGTTTGTACAAAAATTAAAAAAATTTGATTTTTACACAAACATTTTGAATGTTTGTCAAGCCGTTTGCGTAGTCTATAGTCAAATTGTTTAATTAATAAAAAAATTTTATAATATAAACATTTAATTTTGTGATAAAAAATGGAAGAAAAAGAATTTTTAATAGAATTTATTGATGTTTACAAGTCTTTACCATCATTATGGAAAGTGAAATCCAAAGACTATAGCAATAGAATGATAAAAAATAGAGATTATAATGTTTTAGTTGAAAAACTAAAGGAAAAATATCCTGATGCTACTAAAGAAATGGCAGTAAAAAAGATAAACGTCATGCGTACATCATATCGTCGTGAATTAAAGAAACAAAGAGCAAGTCTAAAATCTGGTGCTGGCGCAGACGACGAATATGTGCCAACTCTTTGGTACTTTGATCATCTCTCGTTTCTTAATGATCAGGAAGAGTTCATTACAGGACGAACTACAATGGAAGATGAAATAGAAAGCGGGGTAAGAAAAAATAATCAACATTTAGGTTATTTAAAAATTTTATTTTGCCATGAAACTGCACCATTAGTATTAAAATAAGTAGAAAAAGTTTCTCTTATATATTTTGCATTATTTGTTGCATTTTTGGAAGTTGAAGCTTTTAGATTTTGAAGATTTGGGCCATTGTGCCAATCAGCATATTCCATCGCTCCCGTTTCTACTATTTCGGAGTCAAAACCACCTTCGAAGTAGGTTTGTTCATATTCCCTTCTTAAAAAATTGTGCAAGTAACAACAAGCTAGAACAATTGATGTAGTTTTTTCAGGAGATAGATTTATAGTTTGTAAAAGTATTCTGAAACGGGATGCTAAAATACCGAAAGCATTTTCCACTAGTCTTCTTGCCCGCGAAAGTCGGTAATTGAAAATGATTTCTTCTTTTTTGAGCGTATTGTGGCTAAATGGCTTTAAAATGTTTTCGGATAAGGGGAAAGCATCATCCGCCACAAATACAAACGGCATTTTTTCATCACATCCTGGAAGAGGTTCTGGATTTGGAATTTTTAAATCATTATCCTTTAATTTTGTATAAAATTTTGTTTCGGCAAACACACCTCCATCCGATGCCCTCCCATTTGTTCCAACATCCACCATCAAAAATTCATAATTTGCATTGACAACTGCCATTAAGATAATTGAAAAAGACTTTTTATAATTGAAGTAGAACGATCCGCTTCCTGGTGGTTGACGAATGTTGACGTGTTTACCGTCAATTGCTCCTATGCAATTCGGAAAGTTCCACAAGTGATAGAAATCGGACGCTTCTTTCTTCCACTCGTTTGGTGTTTGTGGCAACTGGAATAAATAATAAGTGTGTGTGAAAAACTAAATAATTTCTACAATTTTTTACAGGAATTTGACATTCCATCAAAAAGGAGAAAGACTTGTCCAGAAGACAATTTAATAAAGTTAGCGTGCGAGAAATTAAGCAATAGCAACTGTCAGCAAAAAGAAAATGACTCTTTGGCGAAATCGTGGAATGCTCAGTACCAAGAAATTAATGACAATCAAAAAATATTTGCAAGGAAAATAATTTCGGATGTTTTATTTCACGGTTGCCTAGGAAAGCTGGAGCTAAATGATACTATAAAAATCCAAAATATTTTAAATAAGAAAAGCGACAGTTTAGATACATCAGTACCCAGAAACGTAATAAAAGTTCCAACACCGTTTAGTAATGGGTCTTCTACAAGTAGTTTTAGAGCAGTAACACCTCGAAATAGTGGTTCTTCAATATATGGCAATAAAAAACCAACTCCAAAAAAAAATGTAGTATATTTCATACAAAAGGAAACTGCTGATAACACAACAAATGACGGTTTTTTTGTAGAGGATGAAAGTTCACCAAATTGCTATGAAGAAAGCAGCATTCAAAACTACTTCTCAAGTTTCGAAGAAAGTGATGAATGAAATTTAATGTACACGCGTAATTGATGTCATATTCGTTTTTCGAAGTAGTTATTGTACTTTTTAAAAATAAAATAAATTATTTATGTTTGTAAACGAGAACTTCTGATTCTTTATCACTTTTTGTGTGGGATGTCATGGGATGTAATGTAAAAGTATATGTTTACCCACTATCATAAAATGTGTCGTAAACTTGTAATGGCAAATAAAATATTTGAAATCGACCTTCATAAAATTTACAAGGTTTGTAATCATATATTATAAGTAGCATTACAGGTCTACGACCAATATTTTTATGTGCTACCAACGGAAGGATGGCTATAACAATTTAAGCCTTTACCTTTATATAATCTTTTAATTCGCTTATTATAGCTTCACACGTTTCGATTACAATTTCTGAAATCGTTTGAGGTGCAATTGCTGTTAAGAATTTTAAATCCTGGAAATTATTGCCGCTAGCCAAAAATCGTAGTGTTAATGCAAGTCGATGATGTGGTGGTATTGCATCTCGCATTAACGTATCCTTTTTTGTAATGCGATGTATAATTTTCTCCAATAAGTTGTCAAATGTTGACTTGCTCATTCTAACATAATTTTTAAAATCATTCTCAGCGGTAAATTCCAATTCTTTTAGGAGTTTTGTTTGCCCTAATAGTGGTCGTTTGATATGATAAGTGGGAAAATGTACTTCTACTTAGAGTATATAGCATTTTTATGTTTTTTACCCAATAATTATTTAAGTTTTACCAAATGCAATAAAATATAAAACTTATATTAAATACGTTCATTACAATAATATTAAAAAATAATAATTATTAAAGGCTTTTAGAAAGCCTATCAACACATAGACATCTTTGCAGTTACACGCCTACTATTAAAGCTTGTGTAAATATTTAATCAGCTAACCATCCACCCATTTTTCCATTCGTATTTAAAATTCTGTACCACAATTGGAACAACGTTTATTCTTCATAGCTAAACAGCACAAAATGCCCACAGGAAAGAATAAAATTGCACAAAACAAACCAATGCAAGGATACGAATCTTCCAAAATACCAATACGACAAGCTGGACAACCACCAATTACAATGATTTCACGTGGCACTGTTGCAGCTGGCTGTATGACAACATTCACTGGAGTAGTTTCAAATGCACCATATGATGGTACCTGCTGAAAGCCAACATGGGCAGGTTGTGGAGGTGCACTAGGAGTTCCGTGTATTGGCACATTTTGAGCATAAGCCTGTGTTTGTGGCGGTACATATGGTGTTGATGTTTGGGTAACACCAACATTTGGATTGGGATATTTAAAGTCTTTATATGCAATGAAACAAATAATGTAAATATGTACTAAGTATGTCTTCGGTGTTAATTATTTAGACAATTAATTTACTTACCAACTTGAGGTGCCTCAGTGGGGGCAAACATAGCTTCTTCATAAGATGGTGGCTGAACTTCTTTAGACATTACTTTGTTGATATTCTTCTATTTCTTATCAATTTATCTTTTCGTTTTATGACTCAATTTATTTTGTATTAATAAATTAATCGAATCTATTTATTTTTTGATGTTTTTCTTTTAAGTTGTTTTTGCTTTGTATAACAGTTTACTAAATGCACGTAGTGATGACAATTTATATCGTTCACAATTGGAGATGACACTGATGGATACACTTACAAAAATGTTTCTAAAACAAAGTTCGATCTACGTAACTGATTTAAAGTTTATCCCAAGGCGAATTCACATTAGGTGGTGGCAGTTTTGCAACAACAATATTTTACATGTATATTATTACATGTAAATATTTTTAAAAAATAGAGATAGACATTAAAATTTGTGAAGAAAAAATATACTGAATTGAAAAATGTTTGTTTCAAACGAAAAATTCTATTCCGGCAGATTAATTTGCAAAAGTAATTTTTAATATTTTGTAAAAAATAAACATAAAAAAGTACATATTCATGAACAAATTTTATTATGAATGAATGAATCTTTGTTGCGAATGGATAATTCTACTCCGGCGGAGGCCATAACGTAGCCGGCCGGGTATGGGGTTTATTATATAAAGCGTTCCGGATCAGACTTTTTTTAGTTAATCACGTTATCTACATAGTGTAAATAAAACACAATATTGTTTAATTTGTTAGCATTTAATAGATTTCAAAATTAATCCATAACGTAGTAAGCTGCCGCTGGCCGGTTAAATTCTTCACAGGCGAATAAAAGGTCCAAATACATACAATACTTTACGACGAACTGCGACTGACAGCTACGCAACATAAAAATGTGATGCCCAATCGTTGCGTTGATAAAGTATTAAAGTATAGTTAAATATTTTTTAATAATATAAAAAATATTAAATATAAAAAATATTTTATATAAAAATGGTGTTTTTCACACACACACATACACAAATCACAATTAAACACAACAAAAAAGACAGACAATTATTTTCACAGTTTTGTTTTTGTTCTCATTTTTTCTTTCTTTTTTCCTTTTCTTACGTCAAAGTTAAATATTTTTCAACTTTTGTACTTCGTGAAGAAGTTGGACGTATTGATTGTGACCGCAAAAACAAATTATCAGCCGATTGAATAACACCACCTTATGTGAATTTGCCTTTGAGTATGCATGCGAATAAATTCTCATTTGTTTGCGAAATTTACAGAGACTTTTGACATTTAAAAAAGTCTAAAATCAGCTTTTGTTTGATTTTGAAATTGTTTGGTGAGAAGTGGTATATAAAACACAGCTAAAAAAATCATATTGAAATCGTTTTGTGCGAAAGAGAAACAGTTTTGTGCTCGTGACACCTCTGTGTACCCTACGGTTTTTTGCTCATATCTCCGTTATTTATGGACGGATTTTGCTGATTTAAAATTTTAAATAGATTTGGATCCCGAAGATATCTGGGGTCTTCAGAAAATTTATTTTGGCTTATCGATTCCGCTATCTATAAGGATCCAGAATATATATAATTTATAGAGTAGAAAAATTATATTATAGAGAAAAATACATAAAATAGTATTCATGAATACAAAAATGTCCTCGATAATCCGAATGTGTCCAAACTTAACCATATGTGATGAATTGTCGAAGTTGCACTGTAGATGAAAACTTAGCCGACTTACAGTCGATTTTAAGCCGGCGCCGACATTTTTTAATGCCAGCCGAAGTCGACGTTAATATTTGTCGGCGCAGGGCTCTGCAAACTAGTGCGACTAATTTTGTAAAAATTTCTCTTTAAAATTAAAATAAATTAATAAAATCCCTAAAAATGGCTAAAATGGCATTTCAACACCAGGCCGGCACGGCCATGGAGTGTTTGAGTGTAAGTAGTAATCACTAATTACATGGGTGGAGTTAATCGCATATAAATTATGATTTCCAAACATTTTTTTAGATTCCTATAACACTGCACAAGGAAAAGGATTATGACCAGGAAGGCAGAGAGATCTTAAAATGTGGTTTCAAGATTGGTGGTGGCATTGATCAGGATTATAAGAAAAGTCCACAGGGATATACAGATTATGTAGGTTCTTACTTTATTTTTAACTTGTACATAATTTATTAGCTATAATGTATATTTCAAGGGTATTTATGTTACTGAGGTACATGATGGTAGTCCTGCTGCCCGTGCCGGTTTACGCATACACGATAAGATTTTACAATGTAATGGCTATGATTTTACCATGGTCACTCATAAAAAAGCTGTCAGTTATATACGAAAGCATCCGGTATTGAATATGTTGGTGGCACGTAAGGGTGTCACCTCCACATAAGTTTTTTTTACCATAAGTGTAGCGCCAGTTGAATTTTACTCAAAAACCTCTTGTCTACCTATTAAATACAAATTAAGCAATTGTTATCGTCTGCATAATCATATACCTACACTACTCTACACAAAACTCACGAAGCTCTCTTCATCTTTAACCACCTAAAAACTCGGCAACTTTACTGTATTTCTAATAGGTGTAGATGGACTCAATGCCATTGGAAAAACTCAATGCAAGTGAAAAATCCTGTTTTTACCATTAAGGGCTTGAGTCCGTTCTACACTGTGCTTAAATTAGACATCCAAATATATATAACTTTCCAGCAATGACTTAAGAAAGTCGTTCAAAAGTAATTAGTATTTGTATTAATAATGGATGTTGTTATAATTTAAGCAAACTTTGAAGATCTCTTTTTTTCTTAATCTAATAATGATAATTATTTTATAAACTTATTAAAACTATTTAAATATTTTTCTAATTTCTCAATTGTCGTTCCAAGCCAATATAAATATTTAATCCGTGGACAAATTAATGCTATAAGTCTATGCTTATAAACAATTTTATAATAAATTATTAAAGAAACAATATGTATTAATTAAATGTACATTAGAAAAAGTAACACGCATTTATATTTAAAACAAAATCACCACAAAACCTTTATACTGTTTTTATATGCACCACAACTTGTAGTACAGAGTAGCTATTCATTCATACTTATTTATACAGTTATTTTTTTAATTAAAATTTCCCATTTTTTTATACTAAAACATAGATGTTTTTATTAAAATATCTAAAGAAAAATAGTATTTTATGTGATAGAAAAGCAGCTAACAAAAAATTAAATATGTTTATTTTAAGCATAGAAAACAATTCTATAAAAAATACATTCTTATTTTATTCATGTATTAACATTTATTATTTTTAAGAAGATTTATTTTTTATTTGTTAACAATAATAATTTGTATTTTTTATTATTTAATAAAAGAAAACCAAACGTTTCTTATTTTGCAATAGTTCAAAGAGTGTTTTATTTGGAAAAGGAGATTATATACATATGAGCAGATCTTTTTGAGTTACTGTATTAAGAGAAAATATGTAACCATAAATTAGGTTGAAGTTTTCAATACCTTGTAAGTAATGGACTCAATAGAAAGTTGAAAAAAAAGAAGTCACTGGTATTTATTTTTGTTTATATGTATATGGAATTTTTATAATTTTTAATAATCTTAGACATTTTAGCAGATGCTTAAATAAAACACAGAAATATTTATTTTTTAATTTTTTTATTAGAAAAAAAATCTCATTTTGTTTGACAAACAACGCACATTAAATAAATTATGTTGAAATATCAATGATAGTTATTCTTCTGTTATCAACTTAGAAAGTGCGTTTTAAGATGAGGATTTATTTAACAATTATTATTCTTTTTTTAACATAGATCATTATTTAAGTTATAAATCGAAAGACGACGCATCCTTCCTTCAGCTTTTCTAATAAATCTAAAACGATTTTTTCATGCTAAAACTAAAAAAAAACTTTCCTTTCTTGTGACAAGATGAAAGAATTTCCTAAAAAAAAATGATGCACTGTGTTCTTCACGTATGTAGCAGGAAAAATGGAAGCAAAATCGTAAAAGGGAGGGAATTTTAGTAAAATTTTTGAATGTATAAAAAATTATGTTCCTAAAATCTTAAAAAATAGCATGATTAACTTAATGCTTTTTGTTTTTGCCATAACGTTCGTATTTGCTCTTGGATGAGTGCCACAAAGCCAAAGGAATGGCCAAAGAAGGAAGGGTCATGATGGCGAAAGCGACCCAATCGAAGAAGTGGGAAGAGAAACGCTTGTTGAATTCGCTCAAGTTGACAATACCACCCTCACCAGGTTCAGAGCTAATGGCCAATTGCAACTGAAAACAAAAAACGTAAACAAATAGGTGAAAAAGGAAAATCTATAATTTATTATAATTATATTACCTTTTCAGCTTCTTCTACTGGTTTGTAGGATACTTCGGCAGCAGTGAAATTGAAATAACCATGAGACTTGGGACGTACAACCAAGACATGGGTGTAGTTGGCCTGAGGAGCAATACGTTCGACGGTAGCAGTGGGTTGACCTCCAACAATTTCAAAAGCTTCGGGATGGAAACCATTGTCAACCAACTTAATGTTGGTGGCAGCACCGTTGCCTACATTGAAAATAGTGTAACGTACCAACAGGTCGCTCTTCTCAACCAAGTATTTGTTTAAGATCTGTTTGGAAACCAACAAACGGGCAGAGGTTTCTTCATCAGACAAGCAGACATTGACAGCGGCCAACAAGGCGCAGGCAATTAATAGCGATTTGAACATGCTGCAATAAAAACAAAACGTAATAAGCTTAATTTTATCAAAGTGAAAAACTGATGACAATAGAGATGCCGCAAGTTTTGTTGACGTGGAGAGCGATTGACAGACTTTCTTTTTAACGGTTTATTTTTTCAATCAACTTGTGTTTTGTTTTATAATTGCATTTTCTAAGTAGTTTTTATTGTTACTTTTATTTATCACTTACATTTATGTTAAAAATTATTTAATATTTTTAGGAAATTAAAGGAAATCAGTCTTGATTGTATGCACTTTTTACTTCACTGCCGCTCTTCAATACAACGTTTCACTTTTCAATGGGAACGATGAAGTGTTGTGACGTGTAAACTTCGTTTAAAAATGTCATTTGTCGTGTAAACAAACACATAAACGAAAGCTGCTTGTTTTTTCAACACATCGTGGTTAACAATTAGAAAAACACAACTCTGAAAGGTAATATAGTGCTCATTAGTTGATAAAACCGTTGACAGTTTACTGCTTTAGTGTTATGGCAGTTCTGAGCAGGAACTTTTGGCAACAGATATAACCTTCCGGCGTATGTGATAATATCCTTTTAAGAAATCACATTCAATTTATTCTGGTGTTCAAAAATTTATCATATTTTTTTTTTAAAGAATTCTGAGAAGGTAATGAAGTTTAAAAGAATGTTTTCCATCTAAATGTCACACAAAAGAACATTTTTAACGAATAATTTTCACTATAACAGTACCACAGGAACTTCTGGTAACAGATATAACCTTCCAGCGTATGTGATAATATCCTTCTAAAAATGACATTGAATTTTACTGGGGTTCCTAAATTCAAATTTTATCTGTAACACCAAAGAACATTTGATAATATCCTTCAATGAAATGACATTGAATTTTTTCTGGAGTTCCAAAATTCATAATTTTATCTGAAAACAATTCTGAGAAGGTAATAAAGTTTTAAATGTAATAATACCAATGAACATTTTTGGCGAATATTTTTTAGAATAACAATACCACAGGACAACAGAATTTTAAAAACGTCGAAACTCAAAGACGAAAGTATAATTTTATAAAGAAATATGCAATCATATTTTCGGCTTATCATGTCAAAGATTTTAACGTTCTAAAAGCCCAATAAACATCGATTCAAACCTGTGAATATTTCTGAAAATTTTCTTAACTAAATAATGTATTTGCCAAATTGTTTTCAAATTTGAAAGTTTAGCCTTTGAAATAAACATGAAAATTTCCAAAAACGTTTAAAAAAATATAATGTGTGATATTTATAAAATTTTCAAAGTTTTGTTTTAATTGAACTTAGAAAAGTTTCTTTCAAAAAATAAATTATTTTAGAAAAATAAAAACAGAACATTTTTTCTACACAAGGGAGCGAAAAAACGTTAAATATAGGAGAAATAAATGTATGAATGTTTTATTTTCAGGTGATGTAAAAAAATATATGAATTTTGCAATAGTTAGCATTATAATTAGGGTTTGAAATATGTATGAAAATAATAATAAAGAATACTTGAAATACGTTTGAAAATTTTTTTAGTTTCAAGCTTACCTCTAGCCTTTTTTTAAATTTGAAATACATTTGAAAAATACGTTTGATTTCTAGCTGCCTTTTTGTTTGAGAAGGCCATAATTTTCCATTTGAAAACAAAAATTTTCAAATTTGTTCTCAAAGGCTATGTATGAAATTTGAATAGGTTTTCAAATACATATTTACATCATTTCAAAGGTTTTTGCTTATTGGGAGAACATTGTTTATTTATTAAGAATTAATATTTTAGAATTACATTAGTTGTGTTTTGTTGCTAACGTTCAAAGGCAATTTCATATAAATTTAAAATTTATAAACGTTAGGAGTTAACGTGTAAAATTATACAAGTTAATTTTAACGTCGATAAAAGTGCTACCAATTCAAAAATAAAAATACAAATATTAATGTGTTTATGTCAAACAATAAAAAAATATTTTAAAATAAAATTTAAATCAAAAAAAATATCAAATAAAAAACCTTTTTTAAGAAAATGTAAATAATTTCAAGATTTAGCAGATTTCTTCTGTGGAGTGATGCCAAGTCAGGTAATGTTCGTTTTGTTGCTAACTTTAAGCGTTAACACTCATTGATAGCAACAAAACACAACTATTGTACATAATATGTATGTATGTATGTATATCAAGCAGCCTAGGGTTTCATTCTAAAAATTAAAACTATACCTACTTGATATTTAAATTTTTTTATTAAGAAAACTATTTCAGTTATATAAAGATTAAAACACTACATATTTTATAAAACTATATACACCGATTTCTACTGTTGCTCATGGATACAGAATTGTTTTCTCTTTTATTGCAATATTGAAAAATTAAGATTTTTTAAAAAGTACCCTAAGGGTAAAAATTCCCCTGGATTTGGTTAGTTAGGGAAACAATCCAGTAGTTTGAAAATTATTACTTTTAACGTGTTTAATTTTTGAGACGTTTCAAATGTTTTTTTTTTTTTTTTTTTTTGTTAAAAACACTTTTTCATATCTTGGAAAATAGCAGAAACCCCAATACCACAACCATAGCCTTTGCCTCCTCGCCCAGTATATCCAGTTTTGACGCGTCCGTTGCTGCTCCCCTTACCGCACAACACATCACAACAACTAATGAATTTTTTAAGAAACTAGGTGAACTAAAATTCAACGAACTCATAGACCAGACCAAAAATTCGATTTCAGATTTACCAATATAAAATGCATACTAAGATGATCTTTGCTATTTATGAAAATTGTAATAATCCCAAGGAACCAACCAATTGATGACCATTCGAAATGAAATGATATTAATTCAAATCCAAACACATTTCCTCATTTCTTCTAAAATCATTTTGACATTCTTGATAATACAGACGCAAGTTCATCAAGTGATCGGAAGGAATACTTTAGTTTTATCTTCTTTTATAAATGATTCATATAATCTGATCTAAAGTCGCTTTAGGCCCACAATATTTTGCCAAACGACATCTATGTATATAAGACGACAACCTAGCCAGATTATGTCCTCTAAGTGCGTGACATTCTCTACAGTGCGATAAATTTGTGTAAAAGTCGGCTTAACAATTGTTTCTTGTAAGTATTCGGCCATCATAGTGTTTGGAGATAACAAGAGCTTCACTGAAAGGCACACCAGATAGGCATCATACGCTTTGGGTTAATGGTAGTGATTCTGCTGAGATCAATGGTATAATAATAAGTATGTATCCTTGTGATAACCCCTGGATACGGCAATCAGAGTCCGTCCATTGCCTCTAGGTGATAATATACCATGTCACCACTAACCGACCACCACACCCTAGGGTGACTCGTTATTTCAATATTGGCATGTCCTCCTAGGGAGGTATACAATTGCCACTCTCTTGTGGGCATTCTTCCACGAGACCATCATGATGCCTCCTCTTTCTTTTTAGAGACAAATAATTAATTATTTAACATGTAATGTACTTACAGTTTTTAATCTTCTAGATCACACAAACAGGCCAAATCTATAAATACTATTAGTAAAATACTAAAAATACTTTTATACTCTTCAATAAACAATTAATGTTAATTCCAAATTATATATGTATATTTTATAATTTTTTAAAAAGAATTCAAAAAATTTCCAAATTTAACACGTTCTACGTTTGTTACAAACTCAAAATGTATGTAAAATGCAGAAGATAATAAAAGAAGAATTTGCAAAAATTGCTGCGAAAACATGCAACTACGCGCAAAAAATTGCACAATTTTTTCTTCAAACAGATTCTGTTTGATGTCCCATTTAAAATAGATTTGTTTGACGACTTAGGAAACTCTGGTTTGTCAAACACCAATGTATTTTTCGTATTATCTCGTGTTTGTAGCAAACACTTATTTGTTTGAAGTGCTACCAGAAAAAAACTTGAAGTGCTACAATTTACAAATGTATCATTGACAATATTTCATAATCTGGCAATCTTTTCCACAGAAATGTCAAACAACTTGCCGCCATGTTTACGAAACAGAGACAACAAATGTTACACGTAAGAAAAGAATAAAGACAACTATATAACGCGGAAGCAGAGTTGTTAAAATATTGTCTAACAAAAAATTAATTACAAATTTCTACTATTTGACATTAATTAATTTACAAAACAGACAATTCAAGTAAATAAATTATTCTATTCGAATAAAAAAACAATAATATTGTTTATATTTAGTGTTATATTTGTGGATTTATTTGCGAGTGCGAACAGATAAATGCAACACTGAGTTTTGTTGTAAATGTATTGGGGTTAAAAAGAAATCGCAGTTGAGTTTTATTCGTCGGAGAAAATTCACGTACGTATTCGCTGTGACGGTGTGAATTTTTTTCATTTTTTATAATTATTTTGTTTAAACAATAATAAACAAAGTTTGTTGTTTTATTACCAAACAAAGCGGTATAAAAACAAACATTTACTACTAAAACACCACTTTTCGAAAAAAAAGAATCACACAAAAAATTTGTTCGATAAAAAAAAGATAGAAAAATTTCAATTTTTTGTCTTACAAAAAAAAAGTGCAAAAAAATTTTAGTATATCGTGTAACAGTGTGAGTGTGTGTGAGTGAGTGAGAAAAAAGAAGTGAAAAAAGGGCAACAAAAAATAAAGAAATTGGAAAAAAGAAAGGAAAAAAAGAAATCATAATCAAAAATAATAATTTAAATTGAAAAAAAGTGTTAAACAAAACAAAAAATATACAAAACAGAAAAAACGCATAACAAATTTGTAGTGAGAATTAAATTATTGTAACCAGCAAGAACGGGGTTAATATTTTTACAACAACAAAGCATTGAATTGATTGAACCTGTTTAATTGGTCACAAAAACAATTGTTTGTGACGACGACAGCAAATAACTACAAGCGGATTTTTATCTTCAAAATACATTTTTTATTTAAACAGGGTAAGTTTTATCATCTATCATTGTTTTACAATAAATATTTTGATAAAATCATATTTTTAAAATAAACTTTTAAAATCATTTCCATGTCACGGTTTTTCCCAAAAGCATAAAAGTTATTGAAATTTTTGTAAATTTTCATTCATTTTATAGACAGACGACATCCAACCAACCCCTCCTTCTTTAGATTTTTTTGGGCTTTTTAATTTTTCGCTTTTTTTTGCATTTGTACTCATTTAATGTCGTGTTTTGAACCGGTCTATTTGAACTGCGCTGTTTCGTCGTTCATACTCGCGTACACAAGTACACGTTTGGCGCTTTCTGTTTTATTAATTCCCTTTTTTTTTTGCTTTCTGTTGGTGTGTTTTGTTTTTATTTCGTTCTTTTTCCAATTTAACGTTTTTTTGTCTGTGCCCCATTATGATTCTCTCTCTTTCTATGTGTTTGTAGTTGTTGTGTTTGGCAGTTAACGTCAAAGTATTTTGACGTTTAATTTTTTCTTTTCGTTTGTGTTTGATTTACAAAAGCATTTTAATTAAAAATTACAAAAAAGAAGAGTTTATGAATTGAAAGCTTCTTTAAAGCAAAATCGGGAACATTTAGATAAAATTATTAAAGTTTGAATAAATTTAGATTGATAATAATTATAGGAGGCATTCGTGCTTGGTTTAAAGGTGAAAAGTTAATTTGCTTTTTATTAAACAAATTTTTAGATTATTTTAATATAAAATTGAGTTAACTAATTTAATTAATTATTACAATATTTGGTGATATTTTTAAATTTTTAGGAACTCATTGCTTTCATTTAAGAATCCAGCTCTACCACGTTATGTACCTATACCTACAGTTTATCTTTTCAAATTGCCATGAAAAAATAAAATGCTGTTTTTTTACTGTTCTATAAATTGGAATTCAGTTTTGTCAGGATATGGTTGGTGGATTACTTGCCAGAAAAGTTTCTTATAATCTTATCACTTTTACTGCCATATTATTTGCAGTTTATATCTTGGAATTGAACACTTGCCATGCAATGCAGTTATATTATCGAAATACATATTTGAATTGATAATGTTAACTCAGAATCTGATGAGAGGACTTCTTGTTCGGATCAATGATATCTTGCAAGAAAGGCTACGGCTTAGAATATGTTACATTATTTCATACATCTGCAGGAACTAAACACATGCAATGAAATATAGAAATACAGTTTTGGTTTGAAGTTCAGTTATGATGTCCTATATCATTTGAAATTGACTACCAATTTGAAGAAATCCTACCAAATCCAATTGAAGAAGTTCAGTTTTGTCATGATTTGAAAAGAGGATTTCTGTCAACAAACGATTTTATTATATTCTAAAAAGTTTATTTACATCTTGGAATTGAACCAATGCCTTGAAATCGTGAAATAAAATTTTAAGTTTTCCTAAGATCTGTCCATGAATACTATCATATCTACACAGTTTATATATTGTAACAGATCACGTGCAATGGAAAGGTAAAAACAAGATTTTTCAAATAAATGATTATTTCAAAGATTATTTTCCACGGTTCTAATTTAAATGAACTACAGAATCATGAATTTCATCATAAACTCTTTTAGTTCTTCAAAAAATATATTGTCATGTCAACGTTTGTCTACTTATCGATATTAATTTGGCAATATAAATGATAAATAACATTAGTATCACACTATATAATGCTTTTTTAAGCACTACATTGCTGGATATCAGCCCAACTTAGGTAAATGGCATTAACAAAATACTGAAAAAATACTCTATAGATAAGTAGATAAAGTATTACAATCACAACATTATTTAATTTTGTCGGCAATCTTTAGGTTTGAAACTATTGTACACTAATGCTAGATTATTGTTGTTGTAACAGGTTGGCTGCAACTGGATGTTCTTCCCTAGGGAAAAATACTTCCTGTTGATACAGCTGTTGCTGACTTGACAATCTTTGGGCGATTGAGAATCGGGTCGTTCCGGAGCGGAGATCCAATTGTCGTTGGAACGACTAATGTTAGGTGATTTATAATGCCTTTAACACGACCACTCTACAACAAAGAAAAACCAGTGGAGAACATTAGTTCTGCTTTATTAGAGATATTGCTGCTACCATGGTCCTTTCTTTTACATGCCTTAATGGACTTTTAAAGGCTGATATGTTTAAGTCCCATTCTTTAAATTCTATATCCAAATAGACATGTACATAATTCGATTTATGAACAGTTGCAGTTAGCAGCTCTTTAGTTAGCATTTAGTTTTTTATTATAGTTGTGTTTTGTTGCTAACGTTCAAAGGCAATTTCATATAAATTTAAAATTTATAAACGTTAGGAGTTAACGTGTAAAATTATACAAGTTAATTTTAACGTCGATAAAAGTGCTACCAATTCAAAAATAAAAATACAAATATTAATGTGTTTATGTCAAACAATAAAAAAATATTTTAAAATAAAATTTAAATCAAAAAAAATATCAAATAAAAAAACCTTTTTTAAGAAAATGTAAATAATTTCAAGATTTAGCAGATTTCTTCTGTGGAGTGATGCCAAGTCAGGTAATGTTCGTTTTGTTGCTAACTTTAAGCGTTAACACTCATTGATAGCAACAAAACACAACTTATGAATAAAACCCTTACTTTATTTGTTAAACCATTTTATTATCTCATTAATTGACTAAGATAATCTCTCAATGTTCCTGCTACGTGGAACGGGGTCAACCAATATCTAAATTGAAAAAGGAAGAAAATTAGTTTGACATTTTTTCAATTAAATGTTCATTTGTATACAATTCAAATAAAAATTGTTTTTTTTTTCTAATAAAATTGTTAAAATAATGTTGATGAAGTAGTAAATTCCCTTAAGCCTTTGTGACAATGGAAAAAGTAATCATACAAAAGAGCAACCATTACATTTATTAAAATTGTGATTGGAGGGGTGATTAATATTGGCTGTAGTATAATAATAATATTACAACCATATTAGTTTAAGATATGCAAACATATTAAAAAATATGTATATATAGTAGTACATACATAGTACATTATTTGTTTGGCTTGTTTTGTTGATAATTAAATATTCTTTAAAAAACACATTTAAATACCTTCATAACCTCGAAATTTCTAGAGCAGCATCGATATATTCAAACAAAAGTAGCAGCAGCAAAAAAAAAAAACCATGCTTGTTATTGTATGTGACCCCCCTTCTCTCCACTCTCCACTTAATAAAATTGTATGTACAGATGTATATACATAGATGTATAGAGTATAGTGTAGAGGTATGTAGCTACATACATACAAATGTATGTACATATTTATATTATATGTATAGTGTTTTTTGTATATAATCTTGTTGTATGTACTATTGCTGTTGTTGTTGCTGCTGTTATTTTCATTTTTACCAGTAAAAGATACCAACAATCAACCACTTACTCCTCTCCTTTCCTCTGGTCTATACTTTGGACACGACACATGCACACTCATACACTAATAAACAACAAACACACTCTTAAGTCGCATTCGCATAATTGTTGGTTGTAGTTTGATTTTTTTTCACTCGTTTAGTCATCTATATATTCATTGTTTTTGTTGCTGTTATTTTCTTCTTGTGTCTTTTTTTTTTTGTTTCAAACGTTTGAATTTATTGACCCCAACTCTTTTTTTCATATTTATTGTTTTTGATTTTTTTCTTTATTTAACTGTACTAATTTTTTTACGTTTTTTTATAATTAGTTTTATATTAAAATTGTATTAAAAACAATTATTGCTCTCTTTTCTATATGATCTTTTTTATGCATTTGAACTTGAAAATTACTTACGTGTATTTTTATTTCATTTCAAATAAAATTGTTGTGTTTATTTAGGTTATATTTATGAATTTTCTATACTATGTAGGTATCATAGTTAATTTTAATTTAATTTTGTTAAATTCTACACATTCTTCTTCTGTGAATTTTTTAATTTACATTTCTTTTTTACAAAAATATCATCAATTGTGCAGTTGTTTATTATTTGTTTATTTTCAAATTTATTTTTATTCCAATCATTAGTCTTCTTATCATTAATTTCTACAACTATGGTATTTAGTATATAAAGACAGAAGTTTAAAATAATATTTTCATTTGAGATTTTTACATATTATAAAAAATTTCTAAGATATATAGAATAGACCGATTTCAATCAAATCAATTGTGTACGTCCTTGCGACAAAAGTATTACCTTTATCTAATTTCATATTCAAAATAAAAACCTGTATTTTATTACAAGGTTTACATGGAAGGATGAAGGACAGACGAGTTTACGGGTGGAATTGACTTATTTGACTACAAAAATGATAATACACTCCCGTTTTGTTGTATTGTATTGTTGTATTGGGTATAGATTTTAGAACAAATCTTAACTTTCGTAGTTTAACGGGAACAGTATGTGCTGCAAGTGGGTATAATGAACCTTCCTTGCTAATGTATTATACAGGGGTGATTCTATAATTATAGATGTTTTTGTTCTTTGTCAGTTCCATATTATTTAAAATGTAATTATCAAATAATAGTTTATCGAATATTTACTTTAAGCCCCCCTCGGGGCATGTTTCTTGATGAAAGACTCTCATCTTGGTGTATTACAATCCCGGGGTAATGAGGTGCTACCAGTACCTCTAGTCTGCCGGGATTATAAAATAGGATTCGGCTAGTCCTTAGAATGATTTGACATGTGATCGAACCAGAGAACCACATAATCTGGTACTACAGATGGCCAGTTGCCCGCAGAACTTATGCTGACTGGTCAGTTGTTTGAGGTTCCTTCGGGATCCACGTAGTGGCTGTGGTTTAAGCAAAACTTCGCGGAAAGAGTAAGTTGCGGTTAAAAGACTGGTACACGGTATAAGGACGGTGCTATTGCAGAATGACAACAGATACCTCACAGAGGAGTGACTGTGGGACTAAGCGTTGGAAATGAGTTGGTGTTAATTGTATATGATATAGGATGAATACGGAGCTCATC